AACAAAAGACCCACCTATGAAGAAAAAAGTGAAACAAATAGCAACTTAGACGGTTGGATGGAACGTTCTGTGTGAACTCCTCCATTCTCTATGCCATGGCTCTGGATCTTAGATATAAGGCTCCAGTTTCTGGGCCAACGATTTGATCTTGGAATTACTCTTTCTTTTTTTGATGGGCAGCACATATCTGTAGCTGAATAGTTTTGTCAACCTCTTTCCTGCTCGTAGAGTTTCGGAAGTCTGACAGCTGTCTTTCATTTTGTTCTGTTTATGTCCCTTTAAGTCCACCCTGGTGGTTTTTTTGATAGTATATCATTTTTGAAAACCTTTTGGGTCTCCCTTGTATGTTCTGAGTGTTCATAACATTGGACAAGAGGGTTCTTCACAAGTATTTCCTTGATAATCCCATCTTTAATCTTGATTTCTGCTAAAATGGCAGAGGAGATTCGTGAGCCACATACCTAATCTCTTCAGCACTAGCAAAAGTTGCTATTTGTCTGGCCACACCTTTGGTTTTCTTTCCAGAGCATGCTTCCCAACAGTGAATCTCACATTTCAACATCTTTTGCAATCCAAATAGGCTGAGACTTTCCAAAATCATCTAGTCATGGCTGCTTTTTGCCTAGAAGTTTGTCCTCTCACATCTTAATATAATGAGTAAGAAAAGCCAGGCTGTACCTTCGACACTTCACTTGTAAATCTCCTCAGCTAAATATCCAAGTCCATCACTTAAAAGTTCTGCTTTCTATATAACTTGTAGGACACAATTCAGCTAGACTTTTTGCTACTATATAACAAGGATCACTTTTCCACCAATTTCCAAAGACATGCTCCTCATTTTCTTCTGAGCTCTTGCCCAGCAAAATGGACTAAAAAGCATGACTGAAGTCTATGCTGTCTACAAGAAAGTCACCTGAAATATAATAATATAGGCAAGTTGAAAGTAAAATAATGAAAAAAGGTATGGTGTATAAGCATCAACCAAAGGAAAAGGGCTATATTAACATATAGCCTTTGAATTAGCTATATTAATATCAGTGTAGAATTCAGAGCAAAGAAAATTACTAGAGACATAGAGGGATATTGCATAATTATATAATTCTTAAAATGATAAAACTATAGAAATGAAGAACAGATTAGGGTATACTTGAAGTTAAGGAGGGTATGGGGATGGGAAGGAAGTTGTGGCTATAAAAGAGTAACATGAGGGGTCCTTGTGGTGCTGGAAATGTTCTGTATCTTGACTGTATCACTCAATATCCTGGTTGTGATATTGTGCTATAGGTTTTTAAGATGTTTCCATTGGAAAAAACTGGGTAAATGGCATATGGGACCCCTCTGTATTATTATTTCTTACAACTGCATATGAATCTACAATAATCTCAAAATAAAAATTTAATTAAAAAACAAAGGTTCTACCATGTAGAAATATACAAAAACCATAGCACTTATATTTTCCCAGAAGAATTTAAATTTGAATTGAAATTATATCTGGTACACTGTACCCTTGTTTATGTTTATAAGTCCCAATACAGTTAGAATGATTTTAATGATTCATCAAAAGCTTTTATTAAAACATTCTAATGGATACACAAAAAATTTATAGAAGTTCTTAGGCAATATATATTTTTATGAGCATGCGTATCTATAATTTTCTTTGTCTTGGTGGATTTCTAGTGGAATTTTTATAAACAAGTAGTGTACTCAAGGGAGTATATCCCCAAAGACCCCAAATCTCATAAATGTAGCCTTTCTGTACACTGACAATTCTTTGGAATTTGTCGTTATCATTAAGATGTTGTTCTCATCTACAGGTAATACTTTTTCTTTTCTATTGATATAAGTATGTTTGTTTCTCATTTTTGTATTAGAAGTTAAGGTATGGTTACTTCAGGGAAATAATCATTTGTTGAACATTCACTTATGTCTATGATCAGTGCTTGGTGTTATCTTGTACATCATCTTATTTAACATAAGAATACCATGAAGCCTTTTTTTAAACAAATAAATAAAGTAATGAAAGGTTGAAGAGTTTATATACAATTTCCAAGATTCCATCGATTGTCAATGGCAAAGCTGAATCCAATCCCGGGCGTGTATGTCTCCAAAGCTCATGGCATTTCTGTCCAACACGTTGCTTTGATGCCATAATGCACTCATCACTGACTCTGAATTTGCGTCATAATATGTCTATTTTTTCTTAAAATTTTAAGCTTTCATTCAGTCTTGGTTCCATGCCACTTAATAAAGTTCCTACCACTGTCCTATACAAAGATAAGAAAGCTAGGACTTTGAAATTCTGACATGTAATTGGATGACGTTCATATGATAGCATGCTATTGCTAACTTAATTTACATATGAAGTTATTCAAGCATCTCAGTTTAGAATAGAAGTGTGACAATGTAGCTGGAGCACATGGCTGTTGATGCCAGTGTGAGAATGTGTGTGTGTGTGTGTGTGTGTGTGTGTGAGAGAGAGAGAGAGAGAGAGAGAGATGGAGAGAGGGAAACAGAGAGAGAGTTCAGTCTGCTTGACACTGAATTCTTCTGGGAAAAATAAGTTATTATTTAATTTTTATTGATCTTTTAACAACAGAATTATGAGAATTTTTGTATTTGCTATTGATGAGGAGTGATAATGCTGCAATAAAGAATGGAGGTTTCCAAGAGTAAATAAATCTTATATTAAAAGATATGGGAAATATTAAATTATCCTAATTTTCTTCCAATAGCCTCATCTGTGTTCATTTCTCTACTTTCGCCTAGAATGTCATCTCCATTCAACTGGAGCTAAGAATGGTTATTTTCAAGTATCCTTATGTTCTCTGGAATCAAGAGGTTCCACTTCTATCTCTTTTTAACTCTTTTTCACCTTTTCTCTGTGCCCTATGGTATTCATAGTCATTAACAAAATCTCTTATGTCCTCAATATCTCTTTTGAACATTCCATTCCCATAGCTGTCATTTTCAACAGATATTTGGCTGTCCTAGAGGAGAAAGTTTTCTCTGCAGCCTTCTCAAGTGATCCACACTCTCTCTTACCACTTTTAACCCTGGGCCTGGTAGTGGTTAGGGTCCTCCCTTTCCCTCATTGCTGTGTATAGCAAAATGCTCTCTCTCCTATGTACAAGCACCCATAGTTAAGCTTTACATCATGAGACTATACTAACTAAGGCTCCTTTTGCAATCATCTTCTGACTCACATCATGTTGTCTCCTCATCTTTGGGAGATTTTCGGCTCCGGCTCACTCTCTTGTTCTCTGATGTTATTCCTGTCATAATTCCTGATGATTTTACTATCTCTACGTAGAGGATCTTCTTAGTTTCTTGACTCCTCCTTCAAAGATCTTGTTTTGCTTCCTACCAAAACCAGTCCCTTCCATTGTTAGAGTTTAGACATTATCACTTGCCAATAACTATAATTTTTCCATAATCTCATTTTAAGCATCCCAAATTGTAATTACCACCATGTCTTGTCTTTCCAGTTCATTCTCCCCAGTAGAATAATTACAGAAAATATTCGATCCTTGGAGGTCTAGAAACTTTTTGTTGATTTTATCCATCTCATGTACTTACTGCATCTTTACTTAGCTTGAATGTAATGGTTATTTTATTCTCTACCTTGTGTGTACTCTCAGATGCCACATCTACCCCTTCTGTTGCTCTGCAAAAAGAAAATCCTGGTTAACTCTTATTCCTCAACTATCAAACACCCACAACTGTTCAGCTGAAAACAGAGGTATATCAATTCCCTAGGTTCTGAGCACTAGAAGAGACTTTTTATCACCTTCCTCATGGAATTGTCATTACCTTCCAGACACAACGTTATAGGAATTACTGGATTACAAAGTCACCTTTTCAAATGTAGTATTTATATATTAGCATAATTTAAAAGACCTTTTTGAACACATAATGAATCAAGTATGCTTTTTGATATTCTATATTCTTCTGCAGAAATTATAGAAAAGATTTATGTGATATAAAGATGGTAATCAAATAGAGGAAGTCCAGGAATATGGTTTTTCATCTCAGTTAACAGAAAGCCATTTGACCTAAAATTAGTTTTTTAGATCTTAGTTTACAACTTTGTAAAATGCAGAAAGTGAAGTGAATTATTTCTGGGATCTTTTGAAGCTAAGCATCCTGTGAGAAAGCTCTCATATGTTTCTTGCTTTTTCATAATTTTTCTCAAGCAAGTTGGTATGGGGAAGAGCTTTCCAGAAGCTGACCTAGAGATCTAATTTTATCAGGCAGGGACTATTCAGATGGGGCTGGATACTTGTGTTATGTAGGAGGCTGGAACCTTCTACTGGCAACCCAGCCCCAGATTATGCAGAGTCTCAGCACTCGTGGAAGCTTCCAGGAGTAACCTGATCAATGTATCTTCCCTGGATTGGCTCACTATAATTTCATTTCCTCTTTAAAACCTCAGTCTTTCTTTGCCTACTTGTTCATGATTTGAGCGTGTTACCCCACCTCCTGCCTTTGTCTACACTTCCTTGATATTGGTTGTACTTTCCCCCAATTGTGAGACCTTTGGGTGGGAACCACAGCCCATTACTGAGCTAGTGACTGCTTTCTGGTCCTCTGTTTTAGCATGCAACTCATCTGCTTGACCTCTGCATTGAATTGAGTATTCATAATAACTGTACATCTTCTTGCATACAAGAAGTGATACCTTAGACATCCTTTTGAGGTTGCTCTTTTCCATAGGTCTTGGTCCCTTCTGATATTTCTGCCTTGCTTCAATTATGTCTTTAGCTTGAGAAGATCCAGTTACTGATTCATACAATCTAGTGGCCAACTCTGAGATATGCTCATGGGAGAAACTGTTCCTCACAAAACACCCAAACTAACCACATGTGGTGAGTTTACACATGAGTGCCTATATTATGATTTTTATTATATAGATATTGTAAAAATATTAATAAAATCCACATTATAAATTCCATTCTAATATTCATTTGTTTTTCTTTCAGTGGGCACCATTCCCAATATAGATGGGGACTGGAAACTACACAACTGTGACAGAGTTCATTATTTTGGGGTTAACAGAGGATACTACACTTTGTGCTATCTTATTTATTGTGTTTCTAGGAATCTATGTTGTCACCTTAATGGGTAATGTCAGCATAATCATGTTAATCAGAAGAAGTCCTCATCTTCATGCACCCATGTACCTTTTCCTCTGCCATTTGGCCTTTGTAGATGTCGGGTACTCCTCATCAGTCACACCTGTCATGCTCATGGGCTTCCTCAGGAAAGGAGCCTCTCTCCCTGCTATTGGCTGCATGGCCCAGCTCTGTTCTGTGGTGACCTTTGGGACAGCTGAATGCTTCCTGCTGGCCGCCATGGCCTACGATCGCTACGTGGCCATCTGCTCTCCTCTCCTCTACTCCACCCACATGTCCCCCAGGGTCTGCATCATCTTAGTGGGAGCCTCCTACCTGGGGGGATGTGTGAACGCTTGGACTTTCACTGGCTGCTTATTAAGTCTGACCTTCTGCGGGCCAAATAAAGTCAATCACTTTTTCTGTGACTATTCACCACTTTTGAAGCTTTCTTGTTCTCATGATTTTACTTCTGAAATAATTCCAGCCATCTCTTCTGGTTCCATCATTGTGGTCACTGTGTTTGTCATAGCTGTCTCCTACATCTACATCCTCATCACCATCCTGAAGATGCGCTCCACCGAGGGGCGCCACAAGGCCTTCTCCACCTGCACCTCCCACCTCACTGCGGTCACTCTGTTCTATGGGACCATTACATTCATTTACGTGATGCCCAAGTCCAGCTATTCAACTGACCAGAACAAGGTGGTGTCTGTGTTTTACACGGTGGTGATCCCCATGTTGAACCCCCTCATCTACAGTCTCAGGAACAAGGAGATCATGGGGGCTCTGAAGAGACAGCTTGGAAGAAAAATATTTTCTTAATGACACTGGTTATTTTGATATATTATTTGAAGAATTTGATATATTATTATTGCATAGACATACTAATAAAAGGACATTGGGTGTTTGTGAATAAAGGATATCCATCCATATACCATTAGCTAGCATGGAGCTTTTTAATCAATTGAGAGGTGGATTTTCAGATATTAAAAAGTAAATCAGAAGCCCATCATATATTGACTTTAATAAGATTAAATTAAAATTTTATATTGAGAACACAAATTGTTTCATGTGAAAAATTCTTAATCTGCTGAAAAGTCTTTAAAAAATTTATTCATATTTTCCAAAAGTTGTTCTCTGCCACAAGTTAAGGTTATAATATCTTCAAATCTTTAGAAGTGTCCATCTTCAACATCAGCTTATCCTAAGATAAGCTTGATAACCACAGTTATGACTGAGTACATTCTGAGAGGAAGTGACAAAGTGGAACCAGATATATTCTTCCTGGAGCTGGAGACCTTCTAGAGATGTTACCTTCTGAGGATGAGCTTTGTGAACCCAGAAAAATCTGGTCTGTGTCTCTGGCCTCTCATTCAGGAATAGTTATAGGGGTCTCAAGAGAAGAACAGGATGTGTTGTTTCTGACTGATCTGTGAATTTTTCTGTCAGGTCAAAACAGATGACTTCCTATGTGGAAATGAGCAGGGTTCCTAAACTCCTCAGAGACTGAGTGAAGCAAAAACAGACACTAATTTCTAAAAGGAGAATCTAGCTTGTAGTGTGACATTATGACTGTGAGTAACAAACCTTTGGAGTGACTTGTTAATGGTCAGACCTACATCTTACTCAAGAAGCTTGAGGGAACTGGACCATCTCTCTTCTGAAATTGTGACTGCCCCTGGAGAGGCTGAATCAATCTCTACATGCTGACCACTACCATATTTATTTCCATTTCCTGTCCCCTCTTCTGTGTTTCACGCACAAATTTCAACTTTCTGGCAAAACAACCATAGGGTATCAATCATTCCATTTGCTCATTTGTTCTTTCATATATTCAAGAATCATATTTGGTAACTCTTACAATATAGGCACTGTCCTAGGCTAATGAGGATATAAGTGACAAACAGCCAAAGATGTCTGCCATCATGGAATTTATCTTCTAGCATAGGAGTCAAACAAGAAAACTAACAAGTAAGTCATACAGGCTATTAGCAGGGGGATGAGTGCTATGGAGGGTTGATATGCCTGTGTAGGGAGTGGTTACTGTAGGTCTCACTGGGAATATAACATCTGAGCAATGATTGAGGAGGTGAGGATAGTTCATGTCTAATACGGTGATACCTGTGAACAGTTGTGTGAGTCTAATCTTCCCCTCAGAGGCATGAAATTTACGTTTGAGGTTTCTGTTCCAACAATGGTAGGGTTGATCATTGTCATCAATCTCATGGTGAACACAATGAAAACACATGATAAAATGTTAGCTATATCTTAAGTGTCACATTAGGGATTACAGTATATGAGGAATTGCCTCACCAGAAAGTGTGAGAATCCAGAGAAGTAGACCTAACACTCAAAAATGCTTTTGCCATGAGAGAACTTGACCAGTGAGAAAAAAGTGTTATCAACCTGTGCTGTGGATTTAGTGTTCTTTTGGGTTGAGAAGGGCAACAGTCAAAGCCTAGGGCAAGTTTAGATGAGAATTCTGATTGATACATCTCACATACTTCCTTGGGTTAGGAGGAAACCTTAAGTAACCAAGCCTGACACAGATTAGCAGCCCTGGGGGGCTAGGGAATCTCAAACCTTGAATTTGAATATAGCATGGTCAAAGACAGGTGGCACCCTGGGGTGAACTGAATAAGTAAACAACCAACCCAGGTCTCAATTATTCCTACTGATAATTATTCAAAAATCAATAACCACACACAGTCAAAAATAATGCCAAGAACAAAAGGCAACAAGGTACTAAACATAGGAGCCAGTGGAAAAATGGACAAGAGAAATGAAACTAATAAGATCTAACATTTCATTAATTAAATATGACGATTTAATTAATCATCATAGACTATAATATTGTGTAAAATTTACTAACACAAACATGTGGTAAGCCAAAGTTTGTAATTTGCAAATCTCTTTTCTGAATACAAGTCCTGTCAGATATATGCACAGTAAATATTACTGTGTTTGTTCACTGTCATTTGAAAAGGGAATGTTTTAAATTTTGATGAAGAGCAATATATTAGCATGGGCTGTCAACACAAAATACCATAGACTGGGTGGCTTAAACAATAGACAATGTATTTTTCTTACAATTCTGGAGGCTAGAAAGGCAAGATCAAGGAGCCAGCATGTTTGGTTTCTGGTGAGGCCTCTCTTCTTGGCTTGGTAGGTGGCCACTATCTTATTGTGTGCTCAGGAGGCCTTTGCCTGTTGTGTGCTCAGTGAGAGAGGGAGAGAGAGAGAACTCTCTGGTGCTCTTCTTTTGAGGTGTTAATCTCATCAGACCACGGCTCCACACTCATGACTTCATATAACCTTAATTACCCCCACCCTCAAAGCTTCATCTTCACTTATCAGCATATTGGAGGGCTTCAACATGTGAATTTTTAGGGGCACAAACATTCAGTCCATAACAACCAATATATAATTTTTTTTGTTACTCTTATGGTTCTTATGTAATGCCTAAGACATCTTTGTTTATTCCCAAATGCAAAAACTTTCTCCTATATTCACCTCTAGAAATTTTATTGTTTTATCTTTTGCCTTTATATCTATGATACATTTTGAGTTAATTTTCTTTATGATGTGAGATAACAATTGGTGTTTTTTTCCATGTGTATATGCAGTTGTTTCAGTAATATTTGTTGCAAACTCTATTCTTATTGAATATCCTTTAACATTTGTCTAAAACTCAATTGACAATATATATTTGTGTCTGTTTTTGGATTGTCTTTTCTGCTCCTTTGAACTATATGTCCAACCTTTCACCAATATGCCGCTGTTAATTACTATAGACTTACGATAAGTCTTGAAATCTTGTATTGTAAATATTCAAACTTTTTTCTTCCTTTCTAAAATTGTTTTTCTTATTCCAGGTAGAAGTCATATTCAGATAAATTGTAGATGTAGTTTATTAGCCTCTACAAAAGACCTTACTAGAATTTTGATTGGGGTTTCATTGACTATAAGGGTCAATTATTGGAGAGCTGACATTTTAATAATATTTTGTCTTGTAACCCATGAACATGGTGTAGCTCTCTAAGTATATTTAGATCTTCTTTATTTTCTCTCATCAGGGTTCTATAATTTTTTAGTAATCTTGCATGACTTTTCATCAATTTATTCCCAAATATTTTGTGTTTTGACCCATTGTAAGTGGAATTTTCTTTTTTCATTTTTCAGTCATTGCTCCAAGTATCTAAAATGCAATTCATTTTTTATATATTAACCGTATTTCCTGCAGTCTTGCTAATTAGTTCTAGTGTAAGTTTTAGAGCTCCCTCAGAATTTTCTCTGTAAATCTATATGCTATCTGCAGTAGAGACATTTTCCTTTCTCCCTGAGTTTTTATTTTATTTCATCACTTTTATTTGTCTTATTGCATGCCTAGGACCTCCAGTAAAATGCTAACTAGGAGTGATGAGAATAGGCCTTCCTATTTCTTAGTGTTAGGAGAGTAAGTATTCAATATTTTACTATTGAGAGTTGAAGGCTTTTTACAGATGCCCTTTACCTATTTTTTGTTGTTGTTGTTGTTGTTGTTCTTTTCCCCTTCCTTGCCTTCTTTTGGATTATTTGAGTATTTTTCAAATCCAACTCAATTTCCTTCCTTCCTTCCTTCCTTCCTTCCTTCCTTCCTTCCTTCCTTCCTTCCTTCCTTCCTTCTTTCTTTTGACAAGGTCTTGCTCTATTTCCCTGACTAGAATGCAGTGGCATCACTATATGTCACTGCAACCTCAAACTCCTGGGTTCAGTTGTCTTCCTGCCTCAGTTTCCTGAGTAGCTGAGACTATAGACGTTTGCCACCATGCATGGCTAATTCTTTAAATTTTTTTGTAGAGATGGGGTCTTCCTGTGTTGTTCAGGTTGTTCTCAAACTCCTGGCCTCAAATCATGTTCCCACCTTGGCCTCTCAAGGTATTTATTTGTATTTATATAAATTAATTTGTATGTGTATAAGTGACAATAAATTATTTTTATCAAGAGCATGAAAAATAAGATCAAACATCAAAGAGGCAACTGTTATATGCAATTATAAATATTATGGAGAAATGTAAGTTCTGTTGATATAAAACTAAAACATAAAAATTCCTATAAAATCTCATTAAGATGCAGGCAAAAGGCACCTTAATTTTTTCTCACTGCTGCTTCTTCAAAGCCTTTCTTTCAGTTACTTCTTCACTACTCCCATATGAAACCTTGGGCAAATCTCATATTTTTAAGCCATTTTTAATTATTGAAACATATTCTTAATTTTTTGGTATAAATAATCCAGTCTAATATCAAAGTTTGAATCACTTCCTGTTTAAAATTTTGCCTTCCTGCTACCAACCTCCCTTCCAATGCCAATTTTTGTCTAACTCAAACCCAGAAGCTTGCATTAGAAAGAGAAGGAAGTAAGGTATAGTCTATAACTCCAGCAATTCCTCACATTTCTATTTCCCTTCCTTTACTCACTGGGCTGCCACTGGCTCCTCCAGTGCTAGAGTTGGAGATGGGACAAGAGGGAAGTGGCAGCAAAGGCTGTCCAGTGGTCTTCTCAACATCAGTCTTTTTCAGGCATAAGTCAGACACCATTCCCTCACAATCCAGGGCTTACACCCTGAACTCTTGAGTTGTTCTCAGATACCTCATTAATTGTCTTGAGATTTGGATGGGGCTTTATCTGGCTTAGTTCAAGTTACATAAAGGGCAGAGCCTGAGACAAGGATTTGACTTCAGATGCTTTATTTGGGAGGTGATCCAAGGAAGCAAAAGTGAGGAAATAGGGAAGGTGGGACAGGCAAGGAGGAAAAGTCAACGTGAGTGTATCCTGGTTACCA